AATTATGGTAACACATAACCGAAAACGGTCTTTTGATTTTGTCAATTTTTTATGTTTATTTTAAGTTACTCTAATGGCTTGCCTCAAAATCGATCGCCCATTTTTTCTAAGTAATTCAATTGGTCTTTTCATTATTTGTATACTTAGTCTACACATTGTGATTTTATTAGAACAGTATTAGTTTATAGATGGGTAATAAATATTAATAAAGTATATCAATGTATAATGATTATAATACGATATAAATATATATATATATATTTAGTTATAACTATAAATTTTTTAAGTTCATCAATATCATAGTCTTCATATTTGAATATATATAATAACTATAATAACATAATATGTAACTATGTTTAAACATATAGCATATAATTGTGCTAAAGAGTAGTATTTTATAATATTTTGTGCGCAAACTAAATATAGCCGAGTATAATATCAAAGGATTGAAAAATAAGTGGTGAGTTCAAAGAATCAATTTAGAAGATAAAATGTCTATAAGAAGCAACCCACTAAAATACAATAAACTATCGTATAAACGGGAGAATAAATTAATACTAAAACTTATATGATATTACATATAATTTATTAGGTTGGTATAATGTGGGTTTCAAGTTTACAATATTTATAAGTGGAGTAATCAAATCTTTCTTATAATTATTATTATTTTATTTTTTTAAGTCTATAAAAATACAGCTGAAAATTCAGAAATGTATTTAAAAAAATTAAATTTTAAAAGTTATAATAATTATTGGCTATAACTAAATATATATATTTATGATATTTAATAAAACAATTTTGATTTGTATTTATCTTAGTTAAAAATATTTTATTATATATTTATTTCTGTCAGCATTTATTAGTATTAATACTAAACAACATATTACTAATTTATGGTATATGTATTAAAATCTCATATTATTTTTTATAAATTATAATAATATAACGATTATTATGTATATTACAAGTAGTTTAAAATAACTATTAGAAAACGCATACTATAACTTAAAATCGGAAGAGTAAATACATTAATATGACATTTCTAAAGAAATCATAAACTATTTTGAGTACCTTAGAGACCCCAAATGCTAATATCAAAGACATAATTTACATTTCATATAGTTCTCAATATTTTATTCATTTTTTTCACATATTAAAATTGTTAGAAAGTTATTATTTGAAGTCTTGATTTAAATATTGAATTTAAGGTTTCAAATTTTTTTTATTTGTAATTAATGGGTTATAATACCATACCATTACTTAATAAAATATAAAAAACAAGTTTTATAAATTACGTTATTTCTACTATATTATTATAATATAAATATAGATTTTATTTTGTATACAGCATAAATTAATGTTTAAAAGTAAGACAGTAAAATCTATAATAGTTTCCAATTAATTCAAACAAGATTGTCATTGAACAATTGTAAAAATATTTATTTTTCATTTGTCTCAAAATGCTGATTTTGAATCTTGATTTTGGCAAACTCATTCTATTTTATTATTTTTGTTCAACGATAAATATTGCCAAAATTTAATTTCACTGAAACTTTATACTCAGCCATAATATTTATATCGTTCAGAAACTTTTAGCTCAAACGAAATTTTTTCTTTCTACCTCACAACATTTTTTTCCACATCTAAACTTTAACATTTAATTTTGTCTATAGCCAATAAGACACATACTATAATTTCTAAAATTTACTTCAATTAATTTTTAAAGAATAAAAATATATTTGAAATATGTACTAGAAAAAATTATAAAAACACTTGTAATTATCAATAAGTGGGAATTGTAAGTAATTGACTAAATTAAATCCATGATTTGCATATTAAATTAACAATTCTTTTTTACGCGTTTAATGATTTAGAAGAACTAAAAATCATGCAACAATTTTATGAGACACTAAAAATATTAAAATAAATGTATTCGAGTTAGCATATTCATAATACTTTTTCATACCTTATTAAACAAACAATGGTAAATTACCAATTGTATATTGAAGTATAATATTAAGGAAGGTGTTCTTTTTATTAATTTTTTTTTTCTAAGAGCATTTAATTATATTATTTCATTAAATATATACTTATTTTTGATGATTTTCCGTTATTATATCATTTTACCTTAATTTACAAAATATAATATAATAATTATTCGTAAATCTGAAAATCAATAAGAAAAAAGAAACACTGCAGCAATAAAAAATAATCTGTACCAGGGTATTTACAGAACTTTTACGAAAACACATTTTCACCATTTTAATATGTGTGTGTATATGTGAATACATATATAACAAATAGTAAAAGTCGGCAAATAAGATGGAAAAAGAAGGGAAAAATGCACAAAAAGTAATCATGTAAACTCCAGTTTAGCAGACCAACGACCAAACTTTCCTGAATGACGTTTTTAAATAGCATACACTATAAAATGTTCATTGAGGTTGTAGTCTAGTCTTCTCCGACGATAGGTTTTCTTTTTTTTCTTCTAAATTATCTGATTTATAAGGTTTTCAAACTACCACTTATGGTTTCAATGTTGTCCTTTAACAAAACACCTCAGGTTCAATAATAAAATATTTTGTTAAGACTATACTGTTGTTATGCTGAATTTTTGTACCTAAACACACTATAGTATTTCTTTAACTTTAATACATTTAAATTTAAATATTTCATTTTCGATGAACAAACGCACAATATATAAATCTGATATAATATTTTATACATACATTTTCATGAGAATTAATAAAAACAAAATTGACTGACAGATGAAAAAATCAAAAACTGTATTAAATAACTTTTGTTGTTATACTGTAATGACGATTAATTTTTAATGAATGAAAACAATCTTATAAAATATAAACTTTAAATAATTGTATTTTTTATAGTAAAATTCGTCAAACTATATTTATAAACTGTTAGTGAGATATCAGTAAATTATTTTATAGGTAACTTGAGAGGTTTTATAATAGTCAAAAAAAATTCACTACATTCGTAAATGGTGGAGACAACAAAATAGTTTAGCAAAAAATTGAATGTAACTTAAAAAAAGTAAAATTATTATTATCATAATATGATACATCGTATTATGATAAAACACTGATTATATGATTACACCAATAATATTTTAATTGAATCGATATTTATTTTTTTTTTTTTTTTTGGTATATTTTATTAAAATATTTAATAATAATAATTATTGTTATATTATGAATAGTATAATTGCAAAACCAATAAATTAGTTATATATAAATATTATAAATTCATGATAAAATTTCGTTATTATTATAACTAAGATTTATTTTTATTAATATTTTTGTAATATTTATTTAAAGTGAATTGAAAAATGTAGAAGACATAAAATATACAATTTGTTAATCGACCAACTCAAACGATTCTTATTATTTAAATTTTTAAAATTTTGATAACGTTTAAAAGCTTATACCTAATTTTAATGTTCGATTATGTGCATTTTTGTTCCGATCATACATGTACAACGATTATTTCCTACAGCATGACACGATCAATTAATTTTAACTGGGAGTAAATTGTATTAAATATACAGTGTGTATTACAGACATTGCAAAATTTATTTTATGACATTTATATTTTATCACAAAACCAACAATTTATCTCATTAGAGTAACATGCGCAATAAATTACACACGAACCACCTGCGTTGCATCAATCGTTTATAAAATAATCAAGTACATTGCAAGTATATTAAACAAAACAATTAACAGTTACGACCGAACAAGTGAACGATAACAATAATAATTGAATCGAAGACTTCAGAATAATATTATTTAAGAAGTTTTAACGACAACTTCAACATATTAGTGAATGTGCTCCTACAAATATAATCATGAATTTATCAAACGATTCATTACGATTCTTTATCCAGTAAAATTACGTGAAATAAACTGTCCCAAACCGCATATTCAAAACAGTGATTTTTATTTTTTTTCTGTTCTCTTTAACAATGGGCATATTTTTATATTTATTTATATATATTTATATATATTTATATATATATATATTATTCCGTATAATTAACATAATAGAACCGCAACTTTACGCGAACGGACTATTTTTTTTTAGAATGTTCAATGTTTTCTTTTGATCATCCGAACGCCGTTCATTTCGGCGTACCATACAATATATATTGTACCATGTGTAAAGAAAACGTCAAGTGCCCAAGATACACCGGAAATACCGCGAGAACAACATAGTGACATCGCGTTGTAATTCGATAGCGCCGGTGTTCACGGTTTATTATATTACGCGCGCGTTATCGTAAACATAAATTCGATAAAAATAATGCAAAAATAAAACGGAACGCTGGCACAGTGACTAGATCATTGGAAGAAGGTGAGGGGCGGACGGGGGGTGGTGTCGGGATGACGAAGACAATAATCCAATAGCACGCGTCAAAGTACGCGTCAGGGACGTTCGCGGGGGGGGGGGGGGGCTGACAAAGTTTGTCCCTGGGCGAAGACGGCGGACCGCACAACGAGTAGAAACGGTCGGAAGCGGGTGTAGGGGGTGGATGAGTGATATCGGATAATTGATACGGACGGCAGAAGTTTCTCTCGAACCTGTTACGAGAAGGCTTTCTGAGCGAATCCAACGGTCAACCCCCCCCTCTCACCCCGTGTTCCACGTCACGGCGGAGCGGACCGAAAACGGTAAATTACACGGCTCGAGAGTCACTCGACTGCACGGCTGATACAAAAGACCTGACCGCGGCAGTACGGGTGAAATGATTTCGGGGTCGTTTACCAAAGTTGTGCATGCATACGGGCGGCAACAAACCGACGTCGTCGTCGTCGTCGTCGTCGTCGTCGTTGCCGGCGCCGCAGGGAGTAACCGAACGCGCCCCGTCACCATCGCGCGCGGTGGTAGTGGTAGTAGTACGAGTAGTGGTAGTGGTGGTAGCGGGATCGCGGATTCCGCGCGTGGAAAATATTTTTCGTTAGAACGCGTGCGTGTGTCGCGGCGGTAGCTGCGAACGCGATGGCGGCGGGCGAACGGTAACGCGGCCGCGCGCTGTTCTCTGACCGGGGGCCTCGGCGCATGCACCGTTACGGCGTGCCCACTCGCCTGCCGTGCCCACCCCGGCCGTAACCCGGTGGCGAGTGTATGTGTGTGTGTGTGTGTGTCTGTGTGCGCGCGCTTCACGGCGTAATACAAAACGCAGTGCACGCGTACCGCGCCGCCCGGGACGAGAGATGACGACGACGACGACGATTGCGGCGGCGGTGGCGGTGAGAACGGGCAAAGGTTTACGCGCGCGAACGGGTCGAGGCGGAGTCTAAGAGTCTCGCGCGCGCGCCAACCGATCGGGGCGAAAACTAGCGGCGTCAGTGTGCAGCAGCAGCAACGGTAGGACCGGCGTCGAGCGAGCAGGCGGTTGACGATCGCAGCACATCACTAGCAGCGGCGCGGCGTGCTCGAACGCGCGCGCGTGTACGTATACGGCGGAGGGAGAAAGAGCGAACGAGCAAAGAGGAGAGAGAGAGAGATAGGGGTGAGTGCGTGTGAAAGACGACGTCCCGCCGCTGCCGCCGCCGCCTCCAAGTGCACACCGCGCACAGGTGCCGGCGACGAGTACGACGACTGCACGGCCACACCGCGGTCGTTACCTGCTGCAGCTCTAGGCGCCGCAGCGGCCGCACTCCACGCAGTGTTTGAGTAGCAGTCGACCACACCACCGTCGTATCTGCGAACGCGTCGCCGCATCATCGTCACCGGTCACCGGTCGCCAGCCACCAGCAACACCAGCACCAGCAGCCGTACCGACGAGCGCGCGCGTACCGACACCCGCGCCGTACAACGGTTCAGACGCTTTCACGCTAGGCCGTCGTTGAAATGGACGCGACGGTCGGCCGTCGTACCGCGAACCAACGGCCCAGCGACATTGGTGACGACGGCCACGACCAGCAGCTGCGACATGTCCGTCAGCGGCAACACGACGACGCACGTCAGAACCCGGCGGTAACCCTTGGCGCGAACCCGACCGCCGCGTGCCTGTCCTGTTGATACTGCAACGGACCGGACGCGCAGCCGACGCAACCGACGACGACGACGACGACGACGGGTCGCGCGCGCCGCCGCAACCGCCGCCGCCGCCGCTGAATGGGACATGGGAATACTCCCGAATCTGCTCATCGTCTACCTGATCATTGCAGGTCAGTGTTTTTTTTTTTTTTGTTTACTTCGAATCACTCGTAACCCGTACTGTTATTGTTATTATTATTATTATTATTAATGGTTTCTGTTGCGTTTGATTTTTTTCGAAAACGGGTGTTACGAATTCGCAACTAGTTGCATTCGGCAATATCGTATATTACGTGCGTGCGTATACACGAGCAGTGCTCGTCCGCCGCGACGGTAATCTCAGCGTAAACCGTACGATGACCATCCGGTTTACCAACGTAAACGTGGCGCAAAAGTTGTTTTGATCTGGTAAATGGTGAAAAATAATGACGTTTTATCACTTCTTCTTCGGGGCCGAAACCCCGAGGACAAGTTCACGAATAATGATATATAAGATTAGGTTAACCGTCTCGAACACTTATAAGGCGACCGCCTCCTCACGAGTCCGAGTCCGAATGTAAACTATATAATATATAGCGTGCACACAAGATTTTTCTGGCGATGATTTGATGTACTCCACTCGGACCGAACGCAAACGCTTAACGAATACTCGTATGGATCGCGTTATTGGTATTTATAACGTGACCATATTCAATGTGCCGCCCGCTGCGAATAACTTTTGGTTCTTATTGAATATGAGTCTGTAGATTACACGGAGATTACATGATGCTGTTCATATATTTAATAGTCTGTAAAATGTATTGAAAGTTCAAGGTCCAACACGTTCGTAGCAATTTTTTTCTCGATATTTTACACGGTACTATAGATGTTCTGGCACTGCGATACAGTTTTGTACCAATTTGATGATCAAGCGTAAATGATAATACGCAACCGAATGTGTCAAAAGAAAAAGATCCGACATCATGAATAACATATAATACATGTAAATGTGTCATACGTAGTTATTATTACATCTTAAATGCACGTCTTGCTTTTTTTTTTTTTTTTGATTATTCGTAAATCACCAATAACTATAGGTAATTTACAATATTATCAAATATATAAAGATATAATTATGTAAAAACGATATCAATAGTTTTACCTTAACACGGTTTTATATAAATAATTATAATTGTATGTTGAAATATATGCAAATATTTTCTGTTATTTAGAACCATAAAATCTGTTAATTTTTTTTTTCATTTGCTTGGGTCTCATTGTCTTATAATTATTTATCTTGATGCTTCTGAAAATTTAGTCGAACCACACTTTCCGAAATCAATGTTAGTAAAAATTATAGAATTTTTACTTATCTAGACTGACAGGAAATTTTTCGACTTGAAAATCAAAATTTATTTCAACCACTTTAATTATGAATCATTGATTTAAAAAGGCAATAAAAAATATGGTCTTCAGAACTTCAAATAATTTAATAAAATGTTTACAAATAATTTTTATATTCATACATTGGATCTTTTAAATTCCTTATATTAATAATAATATACATAAGTATTTTAAATACATTATGTTGTTGACTTAAGAGAAAATTTTCAGGACAGTTGTACTAAAATAAAATAAAATAATTTTTCTATACAAAATGCATTTAAATTTGAAACATTCAATATACAATTTAGTAACGAAATCAAAAATATTTGTATGAATTATTTCAATATGCCATCTATGTGATCTGATCTAAGATTGAATGTGTATTCATTACTTTTTTCTTTTTATATTACGATTTGTTTCAATTCGATTTAGATTTGAACATTGATAAATACAATATTATTTTAAATTCATTGACAACATTTGATGGACAGTATTCCATTTACAATTTTAACATATAGCTTACCAATTTAAATTAGTTATTTAAAAAAATATATATAATTTCTTTACCTTCACAAGTACTAATATGTAGATATTATATAAAAATATATTTAATTGCAAAATATTATCTAGCGTAACTAAAGAATTATATTTATTGACGTCATGTAGAAAGATTAATAATACTAATGCTTATTAGTTTATACTATTATATAAATATACCTATTTTTAATCATTCAATTTAAAAACTAACAAAGCAACACAATATTATAAAATGATAAAAAAATTTGTGTTTTTATTTCATAACATCTATCAAAGATAATTCAATTCAACTTAATGATTATTATAAAAAATATTTTTAAAATATTAAACTAAATATGTGATTTAACTAAAATTACTTATTCTGTTTAACTTTTGTTTCCGGATAAAATTTTGTAAGAGACTTATTCTCAATGTCGGACACTTCTTTTTTATTCAGAAAATCATATGTATGAAGTATAAGTTATACTTTTTAAATAAAAAAATATTATATTTTATATATAGAGATACTTTTTGTATAATAATGACTGACTTTTTTAAAATAAAACAATATTTTAAAATATAAAAAAACATATCAAATTAAATACATATTAATACTATATTAATTTAACTGTACAATTTGAATGTACCTAAACATTTGACTAGACGTACTAACTTGTATTTGATATTCTTTAAATCAATATAATCTTAAAAGTAAGTAATCATTGGAATTAATGATTAAAAAAAAATCTTTTTACTACTAATAATATTCTAAAAAGAGAATATAGAATATATTCGTATTCAACATTTAAAAATATAAAAAAAAAATGATTTATGTTTTTCGATTTTATTGATAATGATAAAGTTTCAGAAATGTATTATTTACATTATTTACATTTGTTAGTGGTTTTTATAAAGTTATATATCTATATTTAATATACAATATATAATATTTATTATATTCTAAAATGTAAGTTAATTTTATGAAAGAACTTACTTGAATTCAAAATTTAACTATATATATTTTTGCATATTTTGTCATAGCTTGGAAAAAATGTATTTTTAAGATTATTATAACATTCTTGTGCATTTTTTGGTATATATATATATATGTATGTATGTGTTATATTTTAAAGCAAATAGTGATTCAAGTTATACAAAAAAAAAAAAAAATGATCACGAAGTAATTTTATGATTTTATTTACCATTTCATCTGACCTATATATATTTATGCAATTTATATTCACTATTTTTAACAAATTATAGGATTTCATTAAACTTTTTATTTAGCATAAACTATAAATAAACAATTATATACAATTTACAATTGTATTATTTGAAATAAATATATTTTCACTTTTTTAATTTCATATAACATTAACGTCTTTTAAGTTTTAATATTTTTATAACCATAATGAAAATTGTATTATTTGTATAAAATCATGGTTGTATAATTTAAAATTCTTATCTTAAAATGATAAATAATGATGCTAAATAACCATCTAATGTCGATTATTGATATATTGATATATTTGGATTGGCAGTATATTTAAGATGACATATTCAAATGTCTTCTATAAAAGTAATTTACCTTATTTTTAAAATAATATAAAATCAAATATATTAAAGATTCACATAAAATAATACATTAATCAATCAGTTCTCAATACTAAAGAGCTGAATATAAAGATAAATGAATATAAATATTCTATTTAAGTTGAAACGATATTTTATAGTTTAATTTTTAACAATTTGAAAACTAATTTTGTAATAAAATGTTGGTACAACATGCACTTCATTATGATAACGATATTTTTATTGTTACTCCATAAAGTTTTATTGTGAGATTGTAAAACATCTAGGCACAAGATTTATAACTTCATAACTTTGATGAAATAATAAATATGTGTTTTTTACTAATACTAAAATAAATTATTGTAAATTATCGCACACCGAATAATAATTTATTGTTTCTTTGTTGAAATTTAAATTGAGCATCAACAATTTTCTATTCTTGATAAAGTATATTGAATAAATACACTGATTTATAGACATAATAACTAGTTTATAACAATTGATGAAAATATAACGGAATATAAATAAATAGTGTACTCGTATAATACACGCTGAATGCTGAAGTAATATCTATTAAAAAATTGAAACATAAAAATATAAATTTTTTTAATTTCATAATAGTTTTATTTCAAAACCAATCGGTTTACATTGAATATTATTATTATCATTTTTATTTTTTATTATTTTAACAATTATTATTTTTTTACAGTTTTTTTTTTTTTCTAAAAATATATGGTAAAGTAAAAATAAGACAGTTAATATATTTATATTAATGCTAAAAGAATAGTAAAATTTAATTTAATATTTATTGTATTTATTTATTTAAAATTAAATCTTTTAATTTTATTTTTATAAATTTTTAAAATAATGTATCAATATTTTTGCCGTTTTTGTAAATCGAGATAAAACTCATAAATTTTTATAACGTAGACGACCATTGTTATTGTCAGCGTTATGAGACCGTTTCGGTAATAGGCTCAAAATATTGTGACCCGGGAAAATGTAGACAACAACAGTGGTAGGATAATACACATAATAGATTACCAGCACAATGGTTGTCATGACAATTCGGATTAATCAAATGGTATTGCTAATTTCGGGTATGAAGTTGTACAGGGGAGGGATATGAAAAGGATCAAATTTAAATGCTGAAACGGATTTATAAAGATCTCAAACGTTATAAATGTTAATAATAAAAATCAAATACAAAACTATTGAATTTTTTCACTAAAATATACTATTATACGTTAATATTTCTTATTGAATGTAAAATCATTGTTGGTTTGAATAATTTTGATTTTATTAAATCATTTTTTATTCTCATAAAATATTTTTTGTATTACGGAATTAATAAACCAATAAAATTAAAATACGATGATTGATTTCTAAAAAAAACACTTACTAATCTTTTTTCCTATTAACGATGTATCGTTTTACCATTTTTACGCATACAAAAATGTCTAATGTTAGTCGAAACATTAATGTCTATACTTATGTTGTGTATTATAAGGATTATACGGATCATAATAATTCAATTATTTTATTTTATTAGTACATATTGAACAAGGACTTAATAAAGTTATAACAAAATAAATAATAAAATTATATAGTAAGAGTCAAATTCTATGTGAGGATTATTTAGATTGGATATAATTTAAACTGATTACTCAGAAAATTG